AAGCTCTGGCTGTGCGCCAACGGCTGGGCAGTAAGAAGGACCTTTGCACCGAAAGGTTCTCTCAATGGCAGCTGCCTCATAGCAGGAAACTCATGTCGCTGCTCGACCACCTCCTCGGCACCCTGATGACATCGTGCGGCTAGACATGCCGGTAAAAGAAAAAACGGCGTAAATGAAGAGAAATCCAAATGAATTTGCGACAGCAATATTTAAAAGAAGAAAAATGAAGAATGCAAAGGAAAAGGAAGAAAAAGATGAGCCTAAAAGAAAATGGAAAAAATGTAAAACCACCAAAAAACTTTCCAAAAATATACGTGTGGTATACAAAGTAAAAAGAGGCACACACACACAAAAAAAAAAAAAAAAAAAAAACATCAAATGCCACATTCACAAAGCAAACACCCCGGCTTTGTAGAGAAAAGGAGTGAAGTTTCAGAATCGGCACTTATGGATATTCGTGGGACGGAAATACAGAGTCCTCAAAAAGTGCGTCTTGAGGATGCGTCACACACTCAGATGCAAAAAAAGAAAAAAAAACACTGAAGAACAACTAAAAAAATACCCATATATATATTCTTATTTGCTGTATTTCCTTTTTTTTTTTTTTTTTTTCTGATATTTGAAGCAAGGTGGAGCATCGACAATTTGCGTAGTATTTTAACTGCAATTGTTTCGCTTATTCCCACACAATTTGAGGTTTTCATTTTTCCTTTGACATCCAAATAATTTCTTGTGCCCCAAACATCCTTGGATCTCAATTTCAAAACTTTTGTCGGCTGGCATTTGGATCAACAAGTGAGTTTAGCCAGGAGATTGATTCCAATGTAAGAGAGTCTCGTGAACTTTTGACCCCTTCTTCTTCGACCCCAGGAACGTGAGAAGACAATACAGGTACGAGAAGTGGTGTTTTACTTGCCAGATCACGATCAGCCCTTTCAAGAAGCGGCGTGATATCGACGGGCTTTCTAAAGGGTGGTATTTGCACCTGGTGGGAAGAAAAGAGAAAAAAACCTTCTTCAAACAAATTACCGTTCAGATTATCCCCAAACGACGGCCCAAACCGGCACTCACCTGCACTGCCGCTAATGTTGCCCATTGCCCCATGAGAAATAGCAGACGGCCCGTGCATCTGTGAGCCCCTTCCTTGCCACATATCCTCCGAAGCTTCATCTGCACTCCCAAAAGAACGCAAGCCCCCAGACTGCCGATATAGCTCGCAACCCAAATTGGGCGTATTCACCTGTCTGCCGACCGCTGGGTCGTTATCAGTACGTGAGAAAAATCGAGTAAAATTTAATTTTACATCGCTTGAGTCATCTGCCACAGCAAGGGGAAGGGAAAGATTATTCTGTACATTAGAAGAATCCAAACGAAATGGGTCAATTGCACGCGGTGTGGCTACTGCAATCAAGTTCTCTGAGCTCAAAGTGCTTTCTCGGCAAGAACCTGGAGCCTGAAACAAAGCCATATCCTCTCTTGGCCCTGCAATTCCGCAAGAAGCACTGGGTGCCACAAAGAGAGAACCTTCTGTATCTGGTCTCGGGGGAAAAACTAAAGTACCCTGATGGATAGCTGTCCCATTGGTTGATGATGTGCCGCCGCTCATCATACCAGACGTCTCTTGTCTCGTCAAGGGATGAGAAATTGGTGAGCACCGTTTTGCTAGACCTTCTCCACAATTTCTTCCAACTCGCGCGATTGCACCCTGTGAGGGTATAATGCCCGGGTCCTCTGCCTTTATGCTTGTAGTGAGTATTGACTGTTCTTCACATGCGCAAATCCGATCATTAACAGCAGTGTCAATCGGCAGGCATTCTTCATAAAAGGAGAAACATTCTCCATTATGCATAAAAGATGAGGAAGTACCGGGACTTCCAAAAGAAGTATATCTCAATCGGTGTTGTGCAGCAACCTCCGCTTTCTGTTCACAAGCATCTCGAACTGTTGGTCTAACTAGACTTGTAACTTCCTCGATCTCCGGTAAAAAGACAATTACATCAGGAGCAGCATTCGAATGTTTTTCAATTCCACACCGAGCTGACTCACAGTTACCGCCAGAGATAAGCTCCTCCGCTGGATCCTTGACAGCAGGAAGCTGAGAGCGGGTCGGTGTCCAAGTTAATTGTAGTTCTTTCGCATCGCCCCTACTAACTCCATCTCCTTCAGCGTTGGATAAAAAATGCAGATGAGAATTCCCACCCATAACCAGTAAAAGCACAAAACAATGCTCAAGAATCGGCGTGTTATCTAAACTTCTTTTATTTCTTTTGTGCTAATAAACAATCACAAAGAACCAAAAAAGAATTTCATCGTTGTATAAAACCAAAAAAAAAAAAAGAAAAAAAAAATGATTCAATAAGCAAAACACAAAATTCATCCACGCATATTGTTAGATGGGGTAAGAAGTAAACATTTGGGTTCACCACCGAAAGTGTACATCTTCTTGAAGCACGTCATAATATTGACAAGAGATAAATGCCTTCCTTTTCAAAAGAAAAAAGGGAGTTTATCAAGATCAGAGCCCTTGTCACAATCCACAAAGGCGTCGGCGTTGTTTCTCAATGCTTTTTTTGAGTAGCAAACTAAGGCCTCGCTCGGAAACGATATATCGCAGACAGAAAAAATCCTTTTAACTTCAGCGAGATCTTCTTCCTCGTGTTGTTCACAAAGATTGCCTATATTCAAGCAATGCAGATCCGTGTGTGGTAAAGAACGCAAAAATAACAACACAACCGAAATGCCGTTCCAACCACGGTTTTTTATGACATCTGCGTCAACAAATGCCTCAAGTGGGACACGAACAATGCCAAACCCTAATTCGTAAGCAGCCATTTGTAGCTTTGCGTCTCCGTCGGGTATACGCATAAAGTGTGCCAAAATAGCTAACCGCGGGACCAAAGAGGTATTGCACTGATCCTTGGAAGCTGTTTCTTCAGACGATTGCAAGAGAGATTTGCAAGTAGTGAGAAGGGCTTTAATGTCCACTCGGTAATATAATAAATCAGATCCCAATACCATACGAATATCTCCAGTTTTCACGTGGTTCGGAGACTTGGAAAAGCTTCTTATAGTGGAAATAAGTCGAACCGTATCATCTTCACACCATTCCAACGGATACGCTACTAGGACACGATGTTCGTTGTTCTCAAACACCCCGCTGAAATCTTTACCGTTAATCTGTATGAGCGTTAAACCATTTCTTTCTGCACTCGCGCCAATCAAATTCAAACAGTCGACTGAAGCATCAGTAAATGCCACGGATAATTCTGGAAAGAGCGCAGCCGCCGTAAATCCAACCAGTCCACAGCCACAGCCCAATTCAACAACCCAGGAACTTGGATATCTACGTGTGCCATACTCAAATGTATACGGCAATAATGCCCTTCCAAACCTAGCAACAAAAGCTGCAAGTACCCGTGCACCTTCGTAAACCCGAAGGCCAGTTGAGCACGGCGACATATACTTGTCAGTTTCCTGCTTGTCATGTGGTGCCGTACACCGAATGTAATGATCCATTGCTGTGGCACAAGCAAGTTCAAAACTTAGTGATGAGGCGCCATTCTCGGCAGTAATCACCTCAAAATCCTCATAATGCATGCGATATTGTTTCAACTAAACTATATAGTGACAACAAAATGGAATTAATCCATATCAGAGCCAAATTTTTAGGAAAGTACAATAATCAGGTACAAATAATAAGAAAAAAAAGACTAAGCCAAAGATACAAAAAATAACCGCATCATTTTCCTTCTTAAATTTCTAACTTTGCCTTTAAATTATTTTCTAACCAACAGTAAACATTTCACTCCACCTTCCGTCGGGCCCTCTTTACCAAACGCATGGTATAGAAGTAGTAAAAGCCAAGCCCCATAACAATAAACAAAAAACACAGGAACAGTAAACCGAAGACCTGAGCAACCGCCACATCTACTTCCTTCATAAACAAAAACGGTCGAACTTTTTGCCTTTTATTGGTTGGAACATTTTCAAAGGCAAAAGAAGGCAATGCACGATAGAGGGCCAGCCAGCATAAAAGTGAAGGTCGTGACAAAGAAATCATGAAATAATGGTAGCCCATTTTACCAAATACAAAAAAGAAAAAGCGTAAAAGAATAAACCGCACTAGCCATGTGAAGGAATGATCAACCTCAGTACGAAAAGTAATCCATAACCAACGGGTCGCGCAAAGCAATAAAAAAAAAAAAAAAAAAAACAGCCTTCCATCTCACGCCTAAAAAGTTTTTCATCGCACACGTAATGGCAACCACATGAACAAGCCCCTAATTCAAAACGAAAAACAGACCCTAAACCTCAAAACCCGAGAAGAATACCAACGAAAAACAGGGAGCAGCGCCGCTCTCGCGAAGCAGGAAAAAAAGTCGACGGCTCAAAAAGCCCTCGTTGGAAGACAATGCGTTCTCTCGTTTTTGTTCTTTCGTTCTCTTTCCCCCGCACCTTCTCAGACAAATTCGGCGGCCCGCACGCCAGCCAATATCGTGAAGCAAGTACGCCCTACAACGCGGAGCTGCCCGGCGACAGCGCGGCCCCGCGAGGGAAACACTCCTGGCCCCCCCGGGAATGCGGGGAAAAAGTCCCCGGTACCACGCCACAGCGGCGGTCTCCCGTTGGGCTCTTCGCTTTGCGCTGGGGGGCTCCGAATGGTGTGTCTCCCGGTCCGCCCACACGACCCTGGGCAGTGTGGAAATGACGGGCCGCAGCGTCCCTGCCCGACAGGCCCGCGCAACGCCAACTTCCACGTGCGTTTTTCGCCGCGGCCTCCGGGTCAGGCGCGCCGCTCCTGCGGGAACGTCGCCGGCGCTTCGGGGCGCACTCCGCTATGCGTTGGCGGCGCGGCAGCGACATGGAGATTGCCGGCTCTCATGGCCGCACCGCCGACGGAGAGAAGACCCTCGTGACGAGTGAGCGCGGCCACGCCAATCTCGGGCGGGATGAGGTCGACACGGCGGCCGCGCTCGAGTTGACGGGTCTCTTCCTCGCCGATGGGACCGCCCGCGGGCACGCCCAGGCCGGCGCGAAAAAACCGTCATGACAGGCCAGCCGGGGGACGACACGCCCACGCTTTTCGCGGGTGTGAAAGACACGATTTGCAAGGGACAGCAAATCGTCTCCAACGCCTCGCGCCGCCCGCGAAGATCCCTCATGAAAAATTCGGCGCCGTTGAGGGTCTCATGGCCACAGCGCGCGCCACCATGGCGTCGCAACAAACAGCGGACGGCGCATCGCTCAAAGAATGGCACGGTGGTCGCGGTGCGGCGCGGAAAATCGTCCCGTCCGTCACCGGAGCGACCAAGACGGCTGGGAAAGGCATTCCCGCGCTGAACGGCAGGCTGACCGGCATGGCGTTCCGTGTGCCGACTCCAAACGTGTCGGTTGTCGACTTCACCGCGCGCCTGGAGAAGCCGGCGGCATACGAGCAGCTCCGCGCCGCCACCGATGCAGCCTCCGAGGGGAAGCTGAAGAGCTTTCTTGGCCACACGGAGGACGAGGCTGTTTCCACCGACATGGGTGGCGTCGCGCTGACGTCCGTCTTTGCCGTCAAGGCCGGCATTTCCCTCAACGATCGCTTCGTGAAGCTTGCCTCATGGTACGGCAACGAGACCGGGTACTCCCACAAGGTGCTGGACCTCGTTGCCCACATCTCGGCACACTGAAGCGGCGGCCGGAGGGAAAGTTCCAAAAGGAAACAACAACGGGTTTGGCGGGGGTGCCAGGAAATGAAGGTAAATAAGAAGGGAAAAAATTGTATATGCGAGCAATGAGAGTCATGTAAATGCAAAACGAAGGTTCAAAAACAAGGATCATACTTTGGTTGGTGACATACCACGACGGGGTGGATGAATAGGGCAATAGACGCGTACTGCGTGTGCGCTTGAAGGCGTTGGAGGCCTCTATTTTGTTATTGTATTTGGCTTGGGTCTCTTTGATGTGTCCTTTGTTGCTCATCTGTGGCTGTAAACTGAGTCATGTGATTGTGGTTGAGCGGGTGTTGTGCGCAAGTGAAATGGGCGGTCTTTTCGCACCGCCAGGGGTCAGCTGCGTGGGCGATCACCCACGCACTCCCCGTTATGATCTCGCACTGCGGCAGCACGTGATGAGGAGCTTCTTATGTATGTAACTCGGGAAATCTGGGTGTGCCCCCCGACGAGCGAACGGAGGAATCGTTAGATAGTGACGCTGATGCCGCCCAGCCCAACCGCCTCCACGAGACCGTGCCCGCCATCCCCTTTAATAGCGAGCGGACCCTCCGTGCGTCACCGCGGGCGGCTCGCCCACACCGGGGGGAGAGAGAAGTAAGGCGGGAGAGGAGGACAGCGAGGATGTCAGCCGCCGCCGCGCACACACAACTAGTGCCTGTCCCGCTCCGTACGTGACGTTTCTGTGCTTTTTGTTTCACATTGCTATATCCGTTTGCTGATGTGTTGTTATGCTTCTTTGGTTGCGCCCACTGCCTGCTTCCGTGCGGTATTCCTCCGTGGCATTTGGGTGTTGTGCGAAGATTAGGTTTAGAAAAACATAATTGCAACCCGTAATTGTGGGAAGCAAATAAAACAATAAAAACATCGATAAACACAGAATAGCCTTCTTTTCTCTTTTTTTCTTTTTTTTTTTTTTTTTGTTATACGACATTGTCACTATTCGTTGATCGCCCGAGGGCTGTCCGTGGAAACGTGGACAACTTTCCCTTCTCGAATAACGCTGTCATGCGACACAAATTTTCTCCGAAGATTCGAATGCTCAGTGGTCGACAACGAGGGCATTCCCACAACACGTGCGATGGAGTTTCCCGTGGTCCGTCGGGGGATCAGCGGCCCGTGGCGTCCGTGATGAGGCGGTGGCGGAAGAGCCTGGTCCATCTCGAGTACCCGCGTTTGTGCTTCCTGCGTGTCTTGACTGCTGGCATGCTTGGCAACTTCGGTGGCGACCTGCGCGCGAGGCACCTGTTAGGAAGACGGTGGCGCCATTGTGGCATCCGCATGGGAGGCCCTCGCAAACTATTATAACGCCAGGCTGAGCACGTCCGGCATGTGCCCTCATACTGTGGACGGACAAGCGCGCCCTGCCGCAGGTTGGGCAGGAGGACGTCAATCCGCCGCTCGCTGGCAGGCAAGGAGTTGCGGTGCTCACGTCGGGAAGAGGTTCCGGCGGAGGCAGAGGCGGGCCGGTCACCGCAGTCAGGGAGGGACGGCACCACCGACACAGAGGGTTCCTTGTGGTCCGCAGGGCGTGTGCAGGCCTGTCGAAGAGTGGGCAGGAGTCGCATCGCGCCTGTGCGCAGTGCCGCCACTCGGGGACCGATGTCCGGGTCAACACCAGGAATAGAGTCATTGCCACACCGACAGGCGCATGTCAAGCGGTGTGCGCGGCTTCCTTTTCCTCCTGCACATCCTTCCATTATAACCTCTTGACGGCGGTAAGGAATTCCACGTGCCAGGCAGTGACGCAGTCCTGCGAGAGGGATCGTGCAATCGTGACTTCTTCGTCGGCGTCCGCTGTCACGTTGCGTGGGATTCCGCAGTGCCATGGGGAAAACATGGATTCAGCTGTGTGACCTCAATCCGCCAGTGAATGCGGCACGGCACAAATCTCCTCGCTGACGTCGTCGTGCACCGCCAGCGGGCCAAGGCGGAGTGACTCCATCGCCGAGAGGGAGTCTGTGGCGACAGCAACTCGTGTGGGCGATTGGGATGCTTCTTCCAGGCGGGGAACTGAAAACTGTCCGAGGCCATGCTCAGTGGCAGGACACTCCGCTCGGCAGGAGCATGCAGGGCTGCCAGCAGCTGTGCGGTGAGACCCCACAGGCAGCCCGGCTGTCCGGGGAGTCAAATGGCAGCGCCGCGGATACAGATGCATGCTCAGCGAGAGACAACAAGCCGTCCGTCCAGCGACCTGCGTCATACGGTCCCAGAGGGTCGCAGGCCGCTTCAAGGGCCGATCGTCTGACACCGTCCAGGGCGTCCTTGGCGTGCCGTGGCTGGAAGACGCCCACCCCGCTGCGGCTCACAGTGTCCCGGGCGAAAACTCGGTGATCAACAAGAGGGGCGCGGATGTGGTCCGGGGAGATCCTCATGCGGCTGCGGACGCGTCGCAGTTCCTTGAGGACGGCATCTCCCGGCAGCGGAATGGTCGTCGCTGCCTTCCCAGGTATTGACGAAGGTGTGGTTTCCGAGCATACTGCGCCACGCACGTCCTCAATATAACGGAGACGTGTGAGGCGTTCGTGCTGTGTGGGTGCGCGGAACCCAACGATCCTCCGTAGCGGTGCTGGACTGACGGCCAGGTGGACAGAGGTATCCTTCGCTGATACGCGTGGGACGAGCGATGCTGTGCGGCTGTCGCCGTGCCGCACTTCCAGGCTGTGGAGGCGAGTGGGGTCGGACACGGTGCGGTTGCCTCACCGCCGTGGTGCAACGCACCGTGGACGCATCCAACCAGAAAGGATCGCATGGTGTGCTGGGACGCACCAGCCTCTGCGCCCAGCCGCGGCTGACGGCGGCGTGGCACGGTCTGCCCTGCAGCGGCGGTGACGTGCGAAACAAAATTGAGGTGTCGGTCAGTCGCATTGCTGAGCAGGCGCACAGGGTGGAATTCACGCGTGGCTTCCCACCGCCCAGACGATGGTCGGCCGTGTCCTCGTCAGACTGTCGGTGTGACGCGATGCGGAACAGAGTGGCACCGCTCCTGTCCGCGCTGATACTCAGACTGTGCTCGGCAGCACGTGTGGCCACAACGGACACGGCAGCTGGCATTGCCGCACCACAGGCACGGAGGTCCGCACACAACGCAACAAGCGTGCGGTCGTCAGCGTGCATGAACGCCGAAGCAAAGTGAATGCCGTCCAGGCGGCGCAGCAGTCCATCCACGTGGCGGTGGAGGAGCTGGGGCCGCACGACGCTGCATTGAGCTGCCACGGCTGAGGGAAGCTGCTGTCGGGAATATTGCTCGCGAGCACTCACCCCAACGCAGCCGCCTCGCAGGCGATTGCGCTACCAGCGTTGGGCGCGACGGCCCAGGCGCGGGAGCCCGCAGAGCACAGCCAACACTCGCCCATCGCCAACGGTGTCGAACGCAGTCGAGATGCCGATCGGGACGGCGAGAGAGCGGCAACGGCGACGGTGCAGCACGGGATGATGCCCCTGCGACGCTCGCACTTCACAGCGATGCACCCGCTCAGCCCTCGTGCCGCTTCGTCACTCACAGGCGTCACCAACTCCGAGGCCATGCGTCGTGGCGTGGATCCAGGCTGACGCCGGTGGTGTGGCGGCAGTGCTGACAGGCGGCAGTGGACCAGTCCTTCGCTCACCCCTAGCAAGACAGAGAGCGGCGGGAGTGGCCGATGACTCTCTCGGTGCGGCGTGTGTCCTTCCCGTGTCTGCGGATGGGAGTGGTGTCCCCATTTCCCAAGGACTTCGCAGGCTGCCGTCGGCGAGGGAGGTGTTGATCATCGTTCAGCGCGAGCAGCGGGCAGCGGGCACAAGATGGAGCAGAAATGCACTCAATACGCCGCCGGGGCCAGGGGCAATGCCAGGCAAACAGTCGCGGATGGCCGGTTCAGGCGCACACGGCGTGAAGGGCCAATCCATATTCCAGCCACCAGGGGGCACGCGAGCACAAACTGTGCAGGCAGCTGTGGGGATCGCAGCACGTGAGACGCGGACAGTGTGACAGACGAGCGTGTTGCCTGTTGCCGAATTCCATCGGCGCTCACCAGCGCTACACATACTGTTTTCGTGCCGTATGTGACGCGCAACGACAAAAGCTACTGCTAAGCGGAGACATTGAGCAGAACCCAGGCCCCATAGCAGTACTCCAGATGAACGTTTCTTGCCTCACGCCGTCAAAATTCGCAACATTAATGGCGCAAGGAGCAGACATAATAGCCATCCAGGATATCCGGAAGCCGTCGAAGCAAATCGCCAGCATGCACACTGGGGATTACGTGCTCCATGCACAGTCGCGTATCGGCAAGAAAGACGGTGCTGGTGCGGAAAACTCTCCGCTCCAGGCATACACCCCTCACCATCACTCAACATGATTCCAGCCTCGGCATGGTGGTGGTCCAAGTCGCCCTGGAGCAGAACCGTGGCCTCAGCGTAGCGGGTGCCTACATGCCAACGCCACCGCAAATATCGCAATCCTTTAGGCGGTTACTAAACTGCCTTCCGGCCTCGGCACCGCTCCTTCTGTGCGAAGATTCCAACGCGCATCGCCCACAGTGGGAGTACTTCCTGGAGATGCCTCCAAGCGACGTCGCCGTGGAATTTTTACAACGGTGCGCGGATGCGGGATTCAACTTGGTTGACACCCCTGGCGAGATCACGCATGTCCGTGGCAGACGAGAGGGATCCTGCACCGATCAAACAGGGTCAAGGCACCTTGCCGTGTCGGATTGGAGAGCCAATGTGTCGCCACTCAGTGACCATCACATGCTCACCTTCACGTTGCAGCAGGCATGCGTCGACAGCATACCCTCGGCGCCCCCTTCGGTACGCCAAGTTTTCTACAGCTGGGGAAGTGCAAGTGGGAGTCCTTCGCCAACGATCTCGACGAACACATCTCAGTATACGAATATAAGAAGCAGTCAACCGACGTAAACGCTTTTACGCGAGTGCCTGCAGTTTCACTTCAACAGCATTGACTCGGCGGCATGCACAAGGACGGTCCCAATCTCTGGGATGGCATCCTTGCGGAAGCGGAACGGATTGCTGCCGACTGCAAGGCCCGCTGTCTGCGGCTGCCAACGCCCGACCGTGAGGCGGAGATCCAACGGACAAGGAGTCAAATTTTCCTCCTACTCCGAGAGCGCTTGCGCAAAACGCATCCACGGCGCATCAGCACGCTGAATACAGGCGAACCGCTCTCCTGAAAATACATTGCGGGACGAAAAAGAGAACCATCTCCACCATCCGCCACACCAGCGTTAATGGGCGATGGCCACAATAATTTCAGGGCAGCACGAAGAGCAGCGGATGCTCTCAATCATGGATTCCTCCCATATCACTCCCTCGCAGAGCGGTTGGGTTTTCCAAAGATCAACGCGGACAGAACAAGTCCCTGAACATTTTTTCTCTCTCTCCCATCTTGGGCCGCTGAACAACAACGAGTCGGCCGCCTCATCTGCGACAGGCTCTCTCCCCCACCCCTCTTGATGCCCCTTTCAGTCAAACGGAACCGCTTTCTGC